CTGGATGCCGAAACGGATTAATTTTGACGTGACAACGTCTTATAATTCGATGGAGCCGGCTGCACGCACGAAAAAACATGACTCATGCGGCGTTACCTCGCTATGAGGCGTTCCATTTAAGGCTTGAAGTGCAAGCGAGAGCGCAGAACGAGCGACAAAAAGGCACAATCGGCCTCGGCGTTCGGCAGCGTTCGACATCTGTCTCTCTCCTACTTGAGTGAGCGATGCGTCCGCGTGGACAGCTGCTACACAATAATACATTTCCATTTACCTCCTTCTCTATATCCATACAAAATATCTATCAAAGAAATAAAATTAAAATTTTCTTTTGAAAAATGAAACCATTCCATCAGTATTTTCTTATGACGTTGTCACGTTCAACTATCGTCAGTAAACCGACTTTACAGATAACTGATTTTTTTTGAACAGTGTTTATAATTCTTACATCTATCTATTGGTGAGTATACCGATTTTATACTTACCTTTAAAATACCTATAAAGTTAAAGTAACGACCTTAATTTTCTTTTTCATATAAAATATGACACAGATTCTTTGATCCATTTTTTGGAGTCGGCGAAAATCGAAGACAAACCGAAACATGTGAATGCAAAGCAGCTGTCAAAAATTAACTGAAAATTCAACATGGCCAAACATGTCTGTATAAGTGTGAAACATGAGTACCAACATCGAAAATCGAATATAGGTAACCCGCGGAAATTCAAATTTTGCTGTACTTTTTGAACAGACCTCGTATATGATTAATATTTGAACCAAATAACAGAAACAATTAAAATACATAAAATTCAGGATTTATAGCGAAGGATTCAATGTAGTAATAAAGTTGATATATGTATTCTAAAAACTGATAACCGATTGCTGATAGTGACATGATAAGAAACTCACACGTACATACGTATATAATGATAAAATTAATCATCATATAGCTGCAAATAATCCCAGTGCTCTACATAGGCCTTTTGCTAGTAAAATGAACCAGTTATTCCTTTCTGAGACTGTTGGTATTTCCCACTTTGTGTTGTTGGCATAGGTTAATTGAACCCGGAACTCCGATTGTGGGCCTCTCGACGATGACTTGCTCATATTTTGATGTATATTGTAGAAATACTCAATATTCGTTCGTATAATTTTAAAGCGATTTATTTGTACGCAAAACCTCATTAATAACAAATTCTTCACATTTAAATTAAGCGCGTGAATGCCAGTTTTAATCCTTATCTTTCCAATTATTAGTCAGCTTCTTCAGCTTCTTCTGCCTAGTTCGGATATTAATTTTAATATGATGACGTAAAAAACCAAAGGATATGCTTAAGTTATTTTAAAAACTCTATCATTTTCCATTATGTACAAAATATTGGATTTACTGTATCACTGGAAAATTTTTATTTTATTCGTAGTGTTTGGAAAATGAGTAAATTTAATGAGGAATTAATTATTTCCCATGTGGTTATGAGGTATTACTAATAATATTTTATAAATTATATATGTGTATATTTACTTGTAAAACATCAAACAATTTAATTTTCTGTTTCTTGTTGATTAAATCTAGAGTTTATTATTTTATGATTCTCTTTTAAAACGTGATCGGCACAACATGCTTATCATCACCTAAGGAGTTACTGTATAGCGTATAGCGAAACAATGTTTATTTAATATGCTGATTAAATGTAGCATTATACTACAGATGGCGTTTACCGCGGCATTTGTGGTATTTTATATGCTGATTATACCTCTTCTTGTTCTACTTGGTTACGTGCACAACATGTTGAGTTACTCTTTGCTAGAATTTTAAATGCTCTTTGATTTTTGCTTCCAATGATCCTCTTGTTTGTCCAATGTAGAAATTTTTGCAATCTCACGCTTCACATTTTGACCTTTTAACTGTCTGCTATATAAAGATCTGTATAAATCAAACTTTTATAATTTTTTTCAGTTTTTCTATATAAATCTTATTCTTAAATGTATTTATTAATAAATGAATTAGTTAATTAAATAGGTAACTGCCGAACAATTAATTAAATCCTTTGAAACGTAATTAAATGCTACCTTTGAATCATAAATTCATTATTACACGATAACTTTTCGATTGATATATTCTAATTCGACCTACTAAATTGATCTTAGACACCTATACCGTTTATTGTAACACGACATCTACATGTATATGTATCTATTAATTATTTTCATAGTGTTCCATCCATAAACAAATAGAAAAGCGATACTTTAAGTTTTAGTGATTTGACGGTAATTTATTTAATAAACAAATGGACAAAATTACATAATAAAATTGCTAAATAACCCAACTGAAGTAAACAAGTTTTCTTTTATTGTTTGATCGGCTTCAACTGTAATTAATATCCGTCAAAACAATGCCAAAGTCGAAGTGTTTAAATTGTAACGTACAAGCGTAATATTGTTATAAACAGTAATTTATTTTATCTGATTCTAATTGTTCTGTTGTTTTTAATGCCTTCGTAAGACTACTAGATCATATGTTCCGTGGATACCCAGCGGTTCTTTGGGAGGATCACAAAGATTCTGTGAATTAGAACCTTCTTGTCCTAATAAAAATATACAAAACTCCGCGAGAAACAGTCGTTCTATGTATATTTAACCATAAAAATGCCATATTTTTCATGGCCAAACTAATAATAATAGGCTGAACCCTAACTGTTGATTTTATGGCAGGAAGAGGACCTCTATTTTTGTGAAAGAAACGTATGCAGATGCTAGATGAGATAAGACGGTTTTACGGTCAGATGCAATTAATTGGATACAATTACAAGTAACTTCAGGTGTAGGTAAAACCATAAATTAACATCTATTAAACCCCAAACAAACTTTGAAAGAATATTTTTCAAAAGAGTTACAGAACATCCATGCACTGAGTACATCATCCATTCTCAAATCAAACCATCAATGGTAACATGTCTCGGAGTATCAGAATTTGAACGATATTAAGAATTTACACACTCCAAAATAAAATTTCGAATCAACTGATTCAAATTTGGCTGACTTTTGGATCGAGCTTAAAAATGAATGCTCTGCAGTCAGTCGTTGAGAAGACTATGATGGTTATGTATCCATTTGTATCGACTTACAGATGTGAGACAAGCTTTTCAGCTTCCGCCTGCACTAAAAACAAAAATTTGGAAATAGGTTGAAGGCCGCTCTGGACTCTGGATATTCCAATTCATTTGTTGGACAGTAAAGCTAATTATAGTGCTATACATATAACATATAAGTAAAAATACGCAAATATTTCACCTGTATTATCTACCCAAATGAAGTTTTAACACCATAAAGTAAACTGTCGGTGTTATTATGCCTAGAGGTTTAGATCTAGACCATTGCTTAGCATTCGGGAGAATGCCGGCTCGATTTCGGGGATGTCTACCTTGGTCCAAGTTTTTCTGTGGTTTCCTTGGATCACTTTAGGCAAAGTGCTGAGGCAGTAATATTCCACAGATAATCTTTCATTCTCTTCTGTCTTCATTTCGTCCATCTCATCTTTTTCACCCTAACCATCACCCACCCATTCCCATGATTCCTGAAAGGAGGCTGAAGAGGGCCGCCCGCCCACCAGAGTTAGTGGCTGGTGGGAATGAAATGATCAAATGTTTTTTTTTATTTTTGTGATTATCCAGGCTGCTTCTGAAATAAGTAGCAAGCTTTGGAGGATATCAACTAAATGCATTAGGGAATTGCATGGTGAGACTTTTGGCAGTGAATATGCCTCGATTTTAACTTCGAAACAAAAAAATATTTAGTTTCAATCAATAAGGAAAATATGGCCAGTTGGTGGCCATATTTTCAGTCACCTTTTATATTGTTATATTTACCATAACCTAAGATACTAAAATAAATAAGTTAAAAAATATGCATGGGTATTCCATCTACGGTTGCTAATAGCTAAATTAAAATAAATACTTTTCACTACAGTCTAATTGTAATATGAAAAATTCATAAAAACTTACGATTGAAAATTTATAACAGCGACGCACTTTTCCGTTGAACTGATAATGGCGGACTGGCGGGAACGCAGGGCAAGTTGCAACTACCCTATTCCATTATGTTCACATACACTATCTAACACGAATACTTACCTACTGACGTCGAATCACTGGTATTTTTTTAAGGAAAGGGATATGGCCATATTTTCCGGCTGGCCATATTCGA